TATCTATCTATCTATCTATCTATCTATCTATCTATCTATCTATCTATCTATCTATCTATCTATCTATCTATCTATCTATCTATCTATCTATCTATCCTCCATCTATCTATATATCACCCTTGTGGGCGGCCTGGATGTTCCTCAATTTTGTATCCTCTACCAGGGAGTTTTGGGGATTCTGCACAGGATCTTGGTTGTTCCGAGCAGGGGGTTGGACTAGAAGACCTCAAAGGTCCCTTCCAGCTCTATTCTGGTTGACTTTAACAGGAGCGGGGGGAGGGACTTCCACCCCTCTTAAAGTGCCCCAGCTTGAGAGACACTGCTCCAATGACCATCCTCTCTCTTTTTGTCCTTCCCCCAACCCAGCTCTTGCCCCCTTACCCTCTTTATCCCGACTCCTCCCCAGCATGGCTCCCTACCCCTTCCTTGCCCTCCTCGTCTCCTTCCTCCGTTTTCTCGCCGCGACGGCCTCCGAGACGCACTACCAGCCGGGATCGAAAGTCATGCTCTACGTCAACAAAGTGGGACCTTACCACAACCCGCAGGAGACCTACCATTACTACCAGCTCCCGGTCTGCTCGCCAACCCCCATCCGCCACAAGAGCCTCACCCTGGGGGAAGTCCTTGACGGGGACCGTATGGCCGAATCCATGTACGAGATCCACTTCCGGCAGAACGTGGACAAGAAGATCCTTTGTCAGAAGAAGCTTTCCCCGGAGGAGGTAAAATCCATTCGCTCGGTCCCAGGCAATAGATCCCTGCCCCCGTTTCTCTACAGGAAGTCCTCGACATACGACCACTGTCGAGCCTGCCTTTCCGTAGCTAAGGAAGGCGGTCGTTCAGCGAGGCCTGCCTCGCTTGGCGACTTTCCTGGCCACTGTTGTTAAGTGAATCGCCGCCGTTGTGAAGTGAGGAACACGGCGTGTTGAGCGAATCTTCCTTTTCCCCGTCGACTTTGGTCACAAAATGGGGGAATCCCAGAACCGTCATAAAGAGGAACCCGTTGCCAAGTGCCTGAATTTTGACCGGGGCGGGTGGGTGGGGATGCTGCAATGGTCGTAAATGTGAAAACCAGTCGTAAGTCACTTTTGTCGACGACTTAGAACGGTCACTGAACGAATGTTGTAAGTCGAGGCCTGGCTGAATTGCTTGCCCGCTTAATTCTGTTTGGATTCTTTGGATAAGGAGAGGGAAGAAGGGAGAAAAATGCTTTTTAAAGTGCATACGAAAGGAGTGGGCAGTGCAGCTGATCCTCGCTTTACAACCGACTTCCTTAGTGACCGCTTGAAGTTACGACGGCACTGCCCCCCCCAAAAAAAAAGTTGCTTAGGATCCGGTTCCAGATTTCTGAGCGCTGTAAACAGACAGACAGACAAACACGCATGTACATTTATGACATATTCCCCCCCCCCCCGGGCTTCGGGCAAAAAATAATACATTAATTTCGTTGAATGATTTGCTTTATTTAACGACCACAAGAAGAAAAGAAAAACTTGTCAAATCGGGTCAGCTCACGGTGCCTCAAATTGTAACCCAGCGTGGGAAATTCCATGGCATTTCAATATAGTCAGAACTCAAGGATTTCCTGTATAAATTTAACAGAATATAAGACACATTAGAGCTAGTTTGGCCTTGTAGTTAAGGCACCACACAACAAACCAGGAGACGCTGAGTTCTAGTTCTAGACATTCAAAACTGGCTGGGTGATTTGGGGCCAATCATCAGGAGATGGTGAGTTCTAGTCCCTCCTCAGGTATGAAAGCTAACTTGGTTACTATTACATTTTATTCTATTCTCATTCTATTCTATTTAATTCTCATTCTTATTCTATTCTGTTCTATTCTCATTCTAATTCTATTTAATTTATTCTATTCTAATTTTATTCTATTCTATATTCTCATTCTAATTCTATGTTTAATTCTATTCTCATTCTATTCTATTTAATTCTCATTCTTATTCTATACTGTTCTATTCTCATTCTAATTCTATTTAATTTATTCCATTCTAATTTTATTCTATTCTATATTCTCATTCTATTCTATTTAATTCTCATTCTTATTCTAT